TGAATTGCTTCTGCACCTACACATCCTGCTCTCATCTCTTTGGAGGTAAGCAGTGTATTATAGTAAGTATTTCAAATACCACCTAATGGACAGGACTTGAAACAAGAGAGACAAATAAATTGTGCTCCTGAAATACCAAAAAGATATGAGCCTAATAGCTCTGTTCTTATTCAGGGGTATGGTTAACTTTTAATAACTCCGAGTGTATTTTGAAGTCACCAGATAGTACATATTTGATCTGAACCATGTGTGAATACATATGTGTCCACTAAACTCTGTGCTCTGGAAAACGTGCTTTATGCCAACAGCAGATGGACAGATGATACCTGGCTCCAGCACAGAGTGTCAGTAAAAAGTTATGATGAGAAAAATAAGCTTGTGCTGGTTTAGCACTTTATGTCACATCACTGGAGCTTTTCTGACCCAGCACTAATATTAATACTATAACCATACAAATCATGTCAAGGAACTGACAACATACAGTGGAGATATTAACTTCATTATCTATGTATTATGTATGTGCAAGAAGGTCTTGGGGTGAACATTAGCAGATGGTACTTCCAAGAGTATCTCTTTTGTCTTTGATTTATCAACATGAAACTTGCAGCAACTACCAACTGGCACTAGCACACTTTCATTTGGACAGTTTTCCAAGGGTGCATTTTTTCTGTAACAGCAGCACACTGGAGAGTAAAGACTCAAAGCTGCAATATGAAAGTAGGGAATGTTGTTTAATTACACAATAACAAATGTTTCTCTTGCTGTATGGCTTAATCATCCCCCTCTAGGTGTTCTTAATTAAGCCACTCCCTTTGGCCTCATTAAGCAGTTGCCTGTTGGGCCTTCATAGATTTCAGTGGCTGAAAAATAAACTGTGATTAGGGGTTTGTACTGGACCTCAATTTCCCACTTTGTGTTGCTTAGTGCTTGAAAATACCCTCAAACATCTGCTTGGCTTAAGGGAACAATGTTTCTTCCAGATGGTTTTCATATTTATCAGAAATTTTAAGTTTTTGCAGAGGTGTGTTTCAGTGAAACATCCCCCCCCTTTTTTTTTTCTTTTTTTTTTTTCTTCTGGGAAAGTTGAAGGTATTATAGGAAGTGTCCAGCCAGTACTCACCCGCTCCGTTGATTTTTGAAAAATATGAACTGGAATGGGTTGCCAGAGAAGCTCAGGGTTCCAGATTTGGCTGCTAGTTGGTGGAAAGAGGCCAGAAAGGTATGACTGGGCACTCATAATGGTGCGATCATAATCTGTACTTTGAATGTAAAACTGGAGATAGAATGGCAAAGAGTTAAAAATAAAATGGAAACAATCAAAATAATAAGGAATTTTTACCCAGCTCATCAATCCTGGCTTGTTGTTTTCAGCTTTATGTTTTTGCATGAAGTCAAACCGGTGAAACCCTAACTCAGCTTTCTAGGGCCCAACTACAATTGCTTAAATGGAATCACCAAAGCATCATTTAATTTGGAATCTAACCCTCAGACTGAACTAAGAATAATAAGAAAGCATGATTTAAAAAAAAGGAAGATTTCTATCTTCTGAGATTCAGAGGAAAGTTGACACTTGTACATGTGGTATGTAGGGACATGGTTAGTGGTGGACTTGACAGTATTAGATTTACTGTTGGACGTAGTATTACAGGTCTTTTCCCACCTAAATGATTCTACAGTTCTATGATTCTATGGTCCATCTGCTATACCTCAGGAATGAAGGCACTTAGAACCACAAACATCTCTTGGAAGCATGACAAAGCTCTAGACTTTTACCATTAAAGCATCCCTCATGTATAGACCAAAATGGTAGTGGTATCTTCCCCACAATGTATCTATACCATGTGAAAAGCACATCCAAACAGCCGTTAGACCACCCTTTTACAGGATGAAGTATGTGAGCATGGCCCATCACATGGCTGGATATGCATTCACCTTTCAACAGGGTAGAATATTTTTGGGTCACTACGTATAAATTCCCAATTCATTTGGTGGTGTGGAGCTGTTCAGTCCTGGAAAACCAGGCAGTGGAAGACCCAAACTGAATGTAGAAGCTGAAAGTTAGACTTTAGTCTGTGTTTTTACCTTGACATAAAAGCCTGACTTTCAGAAATGTTCTTCTATTACCTTAATTTTTCCATTAATGAAATGAATATGACAATGTACTTTTATCTAGCTCAAGTCCATAGTTCTGTTATGCCAGAGGAATATCTTCCAGACAGTTCTGTTATATACCTCTTGCCGGTTGTATGTGCTGTTCAAAAAGTCGGAATATCTTTTCTTCATGTACTGTCCGAGTTCAAATAGCTGCTTCATTCCAGTCTGCAAGGCAAGCATACAGATTAATATTAGATTAAGGTGTTTGAAGAATCTTAATGTAGAAGTTTCTTTTCTTTTTTTTTGGTCTTCAGTATTCAGTTTTTAAGTGATCATTAACCATTTGTATAATGCGGTGCATAGGTTGTAGGTGATCTAGAATTTTTAACAGAAGTACTCATATCTATGAAAAAATGATACATTTCGAAATGTTAAGACTCCAATATCTGCTACAAGAAAAACAATGCACCTGATTCTATATACTGTTTCCACAGTGCTGTAGCTCCGTAGATGCTCCTGGAGTCATTAATGAATAACATTGTTCTTTAGAATGCATGTCAATTAGTGTGGTGGTGTGCTTCCCTCCCCCTATCCCCCACCCCCATCCTGTCTGCTCAAGTGAAAACCACCAGTGGCAATCGTAATGGATGTGTCTTGTCATGATGGCTGCATTGGGCTCAAAGTGGATTTGGGAGACACAGATTACAACACAATAGCCAAAGGCTTATTTGAACAATACACCCACCTAACAACAGTGCTGGTCAATGTCTGTCACATCTGGAAGAAACACCTGTAGTTGGTATGTAAATATGTAAATATAAGCCAATTATCTTACTCCATAAATAGTGGACAGCCCAGGGCCCGCTAAACTCTCCTGCATGGCAATGGGCTGCACACCAGGATCTCCCTTTGAGTAGGGACACCTCTCAAGGTTACTCCTTGAAGCTGAGAGAATCCTTATCACATCAGATAGTCAGTAAGTGAATTGGGAATAAGTGTACTGAAACTTTGAAATCTTAGCTAAGTGATATAAAGGGTTGATTGTGCACATATAATCCTGTAGGCATTACCTATTGACCAAGTCTGGGACTAGGGGGGATTCAGCCTCACCTAGACTCCTCTCTGAGAAGGAGTTTAGAAAGCAAGGGGGTTCTCACTGAACCTCATGATTCCATGGGAGGGTCTCCCTGACAGTTTTATCTGACCTTGTCCTCTATGTAGTAAATAATCAGGTGTACCTTGCCATCGAATCTTCTTGAACCAGTGTTGCATTTACTATCAAACTTTGTCAGATCACTGATTTATATCAATTAAAAAATTGCTACTTCTCTCTTGTGAGTGAAGTGCATCACTCCATCCATGACAGTTAGTGACAGCTGAGAAAGGATGATTGTTAACCTAGTATTTATTATTGTCATTGCTCTTTTTGATCAGCCTGATAAATTTGTGGCTTGTATTTCATGCCTTAAGTAACGTCCTTTCACCTTTGCCTTGGTGCACCTACAGTTGTCTTAGACTGTACAGTCCTTTCTGTTACTCATTTCTAAAGCTGTGAGCTGAACTTTTTAACTTTCAGCTGTCAAACAAGTACAGTCTTGTTACTGTTGCTGAAAATAAAATGGCAAAAAACTCTCAAAAAAAATCTGTGCCAAAACAGGAACTTTTTTTCTTCTTACAACATAAGCTATGTGCCTGGGGAGAGTAATGTGTTGCCTGAGTGTCTGAAATGTACACATCTTTCAAGCCACACTTCAAACACTAAATGCTGAACTGTCTCTGATTCACGCTTGTGCATGAAGTATTATTAGAAAATATGTTGGCCTCTCTTTGCTCCAGAATTTCAAAAAAAGTTAAAGAGCTAAGACTTGATGTCAGAATGCCAGAGCAAGAAGTAGGTTCAGTGCATCCTAGTGAAACTCTGGGCTGGAAGCAACCTGATTAGAAGGCACACCGTCCCCAGAGAAAGCCCTGTCCTGCAAGACTTCCTTTATTTTGTAAGTAAGAAGTTGCCAGTCAAGTGTTGAGATGTGGACTCATCACCTGACCTGGTGGGCAGGTGTCATTCTTTCACCCTGTCAAAGGGCCCAGTGCTTAAGGGTCGTTAGAATTTCATCAGTGTTTAGAGTATAGACAATGTTTAAACTTGCCACTTATTTCAATGCAGACACACTATCAGGAAGTTGTTGCTTTTAGGAAGGTAGTTATAAAGCTATGATGGACAAGATTTCAATTTAACTGTAGTTGGATGAATAATGTTGCAAAAATATTTAAGAATTACAGGATATTGCTAATACCAACTATCAGTACTTGGGCTTTGCTAATGTTTCTGAGACACACATAAAAAAATCTGCCCACTTCCTATTTTAGTAGCATATAAGAGCTTCTATGAAAGTCAACATACCTGGGTAAGTTGTCCAAATCCCTGGGGCCATTCACTTTCTTTGTGTAGATCAGTTGGAAAGTTTACAATTGGTGTTCGGTCACCATGTCGGAAAACCTAACAATATTACAAGCAGAAAAATAGAATTAATTGCTGTTAACATTCCTCTCTTACCTATCTAGAAGTCAAGCATGCAGTATACTTCCAGTGCCATTTTTCAAATTAAAATATGGGAGAGCAAGCAGAAACCTAGTCAAGTAGGATTGGAGTGCATTCTTTACACACAAATATAGGTATAATTATTTAGGAATTTAGTGGGCACGAGCCTGATGATTCTTCCTCCTAGAACATTAATCAGCCAAGATGTTAATGCTGACCTAGACACCTGGACAAGAAATCTGACTGAATTTGGACACTCAGCACCTCTGAATATTAAACCGATTACTGATGTGGTTTTATTACTTTGACATAGGCATTTGAAACTTCTGGTAACCACTCTTTTCATAGTAATATCTTTAAAAGTAACTCCATGTACACACGGATCTTATGTCTGATTTCACAATCATCCTAAAGTATAAAGATGAAACAGTATAAAAATTTACACTGTCTGTTTACTTAATATTTATTAATACTTTAGCATACATGTATGAAAATATTTTTGAAAGTCTGTAGGACTTTTTTCTGTTAAATTCAGTGAGAGTGAAGGGGTTGTTCACTTTCATATCCTGGACACTCCAGCATGATGAATATTAGTATGATACATTCAATCATAAGATTTTTACATCAGAAACCTTAAATGCGACTTTTCATATTTTTACTCCAGCATATAAAGAAAGTGCCAACCCTAGATTAAATAGTTCTGAAAAATTCTGAATTATCCTCCTTAAGTATGTCATGTGTGGGCTTAAAAAAAAAAAAATTATACATGAAAGGAAATGCTGGAATACAAATTCACAGGGCTCCAGATAATCTTCTAGGATGCTGATCCAAAGTGTTGCAAAAGTTACCTTTGTTTGTACCGATGTTCACATAACCAACGTCATTCCTGACTGCAGAATAGAATGACAATTTGGAAGCATGGTATATTTGTTCATAAAATGACATTTATTCCATAATACCTTGCTAGTATATAGCTTGATTATAATTAATACTCTCCATTGACTCATTAAGCCACATCATTCTTGCCCAAACTTTAGAGAGGTTTGTACACGCTAGTTAGTTTGCCACTCCCACTGGGAGGTGTTTTGTGTTTATATTTTTCAAAATAAACACAAGCAGTGTAGCTTAATGTTTTAATTACAACACACACCCTTTTCATCAGCCTTCTGTACTAATGTGCACAAACCTGTACTAGAGCAGGTACTTCAGAGATGGAAAATAGTATCCTTTAAAGGCAAATATAATTGTATTTCTCCCTCTGTTCAATTTCTACAATAGACAGCAAGGTTTACTGGAGTAGATGTTACCATTAGAACCATGTAGAAAACTGCTTATTATTTTTTTTGCTTTGCTGGTTGAATTTCACTGAAGATATGGCCAACCTGAAATGAATATTTTTCAGCAAATCAAGGAGGTTTTTTCACCATGATCAACATGTTGATCAACACGAATTTGCACAGTTTCAAGAAAAAAACACCTTTTTTTTTTTTTTTTTTTCCCTGAGTTCAAGTACAGAAAAATAGTCCGTAAAAACTTTCTTAAATATTTTATTTTTGCTTCTCTATGAAATTTTTAATTCTGTACATGTCTTTTCTTAGTAATCTGGAATCTCATTTGGTTCCTTATAATAATTTCTCAGTGCACTTCTAGTGAAGAGGAGAACAGGTAAAGAGTTACATTGTCTGGTGATTGATTCAGTTGAATGCAAGAAAAATGAGTGGGGAGGACTTTTGTGTCACTGCTTATTTCCTTGGTGTTTTGACGTGCTGACTTACATAGATGCCAGGTAGGATTCATTAGCTTTTCTGGACAAGCTGATGCCTCTGTAAAGAATGAAGGTTAAATTCCCAATTACAACGTAGCTGCATACTTTCTTATATTATCCAGCTTCACAGAAAAGCATTTTTATGAGTAACTGACAGTTGCTCAAACTGACTGACATGATTAAATGACTATATTTTAGGCTATATGTAGCAATGGATCAACACTTGACTAAAAAATATGTCCTTTTTATTAGTGAAAAATTACTGAAAATGTGTTAGATTTTAAATACTGCTTTATGATGCTTTATACTTGATGTGCAACAGAACCCTCAGAGTGTATTTCACTGTCACAACAGTCAACCCCTAAAAACTCAATAAGCCAGAACAGAGTCATATTTTAGCTGAACAGAGATGAGAAGGCAAGCAGATCAAGATCAAAAGATAATCAATATGAAAAGACATGTGAGAGCAGATGTGAAGAAAACTTCTTTCTTTGTAACCTAAAGAAATGGAAGCGGTGGAGGGTGTTCTCTTCTAAAAAGCAGCACAGCTTCTTTAAGTCCACACAAAATAGAATAAAGTTCAGTTCCCCATTTGTATTTCTGTATCTTCATTACACAGTGACATATAAATATGATAGTAACACTAAGTTGGAGGTAGCAGGAAAGAAACAAATACCTCTAAGAGCAGAATCCTGTTTTTAGGAATTAAAGGACTAAGCTTCTCAGCGAACTGATTTTTGTTTGTGTTCAAACCTCCTTCTTGCTTGCTCCTTCTGAAAATGACTTTGCTTTGGTTGCAGTTGGAAATGAAACAATGAATGCCCTTATGAACAATCAACCTAAAAGGCTAACTTGTTCAGTCATGAATACATTTTAGGAGACTTTTTTTTTTTTTTTTTTTAATTTAAAACTTTCAGAAGAGCTTGTGTATTTGAAAATTTATCTTTTTCATTAGAACATCTGATACTGTTAGGGAAAGAAAAGGTATCCCTACAAGTCTTGCCTTGCTCATCAATATGTATTTCTCATCACGCATCATTTGGATCTTGTTAAAAAGGAATTGATCCTTCAAATTAATTTAAAAATCTGTGTGCTGCAGCATTTATTCCTCCTGGCCTACAGATTGCCTTCCTGACCTTCAGAAGATTTAGAACATGACAGGATGAGCAAAAAGAAACAGGAGTCATCATAAAAGGTGAAAAAACACTAGAAATCAAGAATGAAGGGAGGGCAAGGATGATGTACACTAAAAGAGCAAAGCCCACCTGTTCGGTATATTCATTTCAGCACTTCTATCTGAAGTGCTTCACCTCAGTCGGTTCTCAAAAGCAGTAGATGGATAGTTATCAAATACCCCCTCCTTCAACTCTAATACAGATTTGAAACAGATTTAGTGTCTGGGTTCTCCCATTCACTCTTTGTAACTTTGTGAGGGTGATCACTTCAGATCAAAATGGCCACATGACTCAGACTTTGGTCAACATTTGCTTCCATTGTTGTCAGGTGAAAAATGATATTGCAGAAAAACTGGTGCGGAGGAGAGGCTGAACTCAGAGTGTGGCATGTGTAGTATATATAATATCATCATTCAGAAATGCCATGAATTATATATAGTGAACTATCTGTCTCTGAGTTACAGTGAGACTCTTACAGACATTTTAATTGACAGACTCAACTTCAAACAAAAAGATTTATTATTCTGAAGCCAGCAATAGGAATGAAGAAACAAGAGAGAAATGGAACCAGTCATGCTGCTGGCGAACTCATAGATGCAGAAATACTGAGCATGTTTAGTCAAGGTTTTGAATGGCTTGGCTTGATTAGACAAGTAGATAACATGTTTAGTCAACACTTCCTATCCTGTGTTACAAGAAGAAAGACATGATGAAATCACAGTACCTCTGAAACCACACCACTTTGTATATATGACAGGTAAAATGGGTGCCTGTGTGGAGGCAGAAGTTACAGGTCAGAATTTCTTTATACAGAGGCAATAAATCAATATTTCACTTTTACTTGGGTACCTGATGGTCTTACATATTTACTATTTTCTTCTCTTATGTCTAATTTAAATCCAGTACACAAGAATTATGGTGAAGGATTATGTTTATATGTGAGAAAGAAAATTAAAATAGCGTTTTGACAAATTATCTTGAATTAGAGCTTTTCATGCAAAAGGACGTGTGGCCAGTAATCAAAATGCACAGAATCAGCACAAAGATGGAAATCGTGAGGGCAGATCAAGACACTGTCACAGAACATAGCACAATTCTGTAAGTGTACAAAAGAGAACATTTGTCTGTTTTTTTGCCCCTGCAGATGTATTTTATATTTTGTAATTCTGCTAGGAAAATTTATTTTAAAAGTCATTATGACATTTTCACAATGCAGTAATACTCTCGGGTGAAATAGCAACTTACAGAGTACAGCTGGAAAATGGCTATTGAATTATCTCAGAAAGATACCTTTTAGACTTACATTGACTGTATCCATACCCTCATTATATCCCATTATATCAGTGGAATGTTCTGGGGTCAATTTTGATCCTATTTATTTATGCTAACAATTCTATTCCCATGAAAATTCAATCAGGCAGATTGGTCAGTCTGAGGAAAAATATCAGGGATAAAAGGAAGTCCGTTTAAATTAAATTTACCTATTGTTTTAACATTAACTGTGATAAGATACCCTATGAATAAAGTGCTTTTTTTTTTTTTTTTTTTTTTTTTTTTTTTGTAGGTGCAGAAGGTGACTGCATAGTTGTGGTAAGTAGCTAATTTTGGATAGGAAGCCTCTGTCTCCATAATGGTGAGCATTTCCTGTAACTCTTCCTGCAAACCCACTGCTTGTTAGAACACAATAACAGCTGCAATTCAATAAAAGTCTCCTTCCCTTCAGAGAGGTAATTCTCCAAGGTTTGCTGACTGCCTGATTTCATCTGTGTGTCCAGTTCTCCCTGTTATCATATAGCTATACACAGAACATTACTGGAATTAGCATTGAGTCCCTGCTGTGTGTAGTGTCTGATAGAGCAATAAGCCTCAGCAAGCGTAGGAACTGGTTTTTCCAGTGCATGCTGGCCTCTCTCCAAGTGGCACATCTACAGTGCATCCAATAGACAACTAGGTATGAATACTTTATCTAGAGCTAGATGATATGTGTTGGATATGTTTTGTCTGTTACCTGTATGTGCTCATAATGTCTCAAACAGAGAAGGGTGGAAGAAGGTCTTAAAATTCCTATTTATAAACGTGAATTCCAGTCCCCACAACTTTGCATTGAAAATATGCCTATTTAAAAAAAGAAATTAGAATGGAAAGGACTATAATACAACTTTCATGATCCAAACTCTTTCACTGAATTAATCTTTTACGTGAGGTACTGGGGGAAGTGACATTGGAGTAGTGTCTAGTTACTTTAAAATAAGAAATGACCCATCAAAAAAGGGATTACAGTCTGTTTTCAACCTGACCGCAGTTAATGCAACATGTATCTCAAATCTCTACATAAAAATGCCCTTTTCCATTTCTCAGTATACTGCTGTGCCAATTCAGTTATTCTGAGATGAAAAATACTTTTGTTTTTGTCGTAACTTCTGCAAACATAAGCTTTGGCTTCCAAGCACAAAGAAGGTAGGCCATAATTTCCAGCTCTCAGACTGTGCATCAGTGTCAGCTAAATTAAGAAAGAACAGGTAGACTTCGACCTCAGATCTCTTAACTCCTGTGCACTATGCATCTACCACAAAGCTAAATTGTTCAGTTATCTTGAAATAATAACTAGGGGTCAGGAAATGAAAATTCTTGTAACTGGAGGCATTTTTATCTTCTTTAATTAAAGTCTTTAAACTCAGTAAGCAAAAGGTCAGCAGTAGTTATTTCTAAGTCTAAAAAGAGGTAAAGGAGCTGCACACCTTGTTCGATTTGACAACCATATCAAATTCCCAGTATTCCCCGCAGCAAAATAGAAAGCAAATCTACTTACGACAACTACAAACTTCAGTTCTCTTTCGGCAGTAGTCTGTTGAAGCAGAATGAGGATAATATGAAAAGAAAAGCACAGGATCCTAGATGGGTTGGGAAGCTCTATCACTCCCATCCTGGCAGAAGATGAAAAAAGACTTAGTAGCTCCAGCAGCTGCTCAGGCTGAACAGCCCAGACGTCAGGCTATACTTTCAAAAGGGGTGGAACTGCTGCTGGTGAATTTCAAATCCAAGAGGAATGTTGTGTGACTACGCAACAAATTGCATCGCTCTTTGTTTTCAAATTACTGTTTACATTCTATTTAATCAAATCATAATTCAGTTCCTTTTTTCTCTGTGATATTTTTTGGAGTGTAAGGATGAAGTTAAAATACGAAGGAGTTGCAAAGCATTCCTAATGTTTCAGCCTCCCTGTTCTGTTTCCACTTCTCAGGGCTTGGAATTTTTCCACCCTATAGCATGGCCACGAGGATGAACTTGGAACCAAGAGCCAGGCAATCCTGTTTCTCTTTTATCTTTGCTGCTCAGCTAGCTCTCTTTTCAGCTTCCCTCCCCTTCTTTTTTCTTTCCTCTTCTACACTGTCACTGTGAAATTAGAATGATTATTTCAAACAATTCTTCATGTTGGTTAAAATTACCAGCCCTTCAGATAAAATAGCTGAATAAATCAAATACTTTCTTTAAGCTCCTTGCTGGGCAGTTATTTGCTCTTCAGTTTGTGTGTGTTGCTTTTCTTCTACCCTTGGAGTGTATCTATACTTCCCCTTTTGTAACTGCTTATGTCATTTTTTGGCCTCAATTCTTGAAGAATTTTCTTGCGAACAAGCCCTGGAGCTCACATTTTTATTATTACTGGTTAAGAACACTCTTTCTGACAGTAGGTCACTGGCTTTGAGAATATTGTTCAGCTTGCCTCTGCTGACTTCATGTCTATAAAATAATGATATTTCTAGGCTTGATGTCATAAGGATTTTCTGAGTACATGAATTAGTTTGCAGAGTCCTATAGAGTTCTATCAATGTTAAAACTTCAGATCTTCTGTGTATTGTCCAAGTCATCCCATTCCTGTCATACCCTAACCTGTCTCAGGGTCTCCTGTTGACCTCTTTGCAACAGTATTCTCTACAGCAGGTATTTTACCATTTACAAGAAATTCTATCTTTTGGGCCATAAACCCCACTAAGCCTCAAGTGCTCCCTTCTCTGAGTTGTGTGAATGACCTTATGTATCCATTTCATCTGATGGATAGGAGTTAAAGGGAGGAGGACCATGGCTCCCAGACTTCCCCATCTCTCTTGTTGGTCCATGCCCAGTTTTCAGCACTCACTTGAACTTCTTTCTTCCTCTACTGCTATGTCCCCACCCTCCTTTTTTTAGTCTCTCCTGGTGTAATTGTTCCTATGCAGAAGATGTAAGAGAGTAATCCAAATGTCATGAATATATAACACTTTGTCTTTCTGAAAACAAATGTAAGATGATCATCTTCCTCTATTAATTAAGAGTGCAGGTCATAAAATATACTTTCTTTAGAATATTTTAATATGCCTCAAAAATCAAGAATGTGTGTCCTACTTTTTTAATCTATAGTTTTTTTAGACAGGTGGTTCCTAAGCTTTTTTGATCAAGCCTTGTTGGCTCTCGGATTTTTTTTCTCACCCTTCCTAAGGCCTTATCATGAAATTCATAAATGATTAGTTTTTATAAGATTTGCTGCTTTGTTGTGTTTCTTTGATGAGTGACTGACTAATGAAGTCTCATTATTATGGAACCCTTATAGTAACTTCACTTCAGATATGAACTCAATTTTTTGTGATGTTGGGTGGCATCATTCTAGAATATTTGAAAACATTTAACAACTGCATTTGATAGAAAATCTTTGCTAATGTCTCTTAAGAAATTATATTTCAACCTGAGACCAAGCATATGACAAATAGTTCTGCTTTCTGTGGCTTCGCTCTTCCCTTTGGCATGTATACTTTCCGAGTGAGATTATTTTATGCCCAAAAGAATGAGCACCACATCTTAAATAAATCTCTACGCATTCAAAAATGGAAGGATACCCTCATTCGTGTGCCATAGCAGCTAAGACAGAGTCCTGTAGGAATCCTGTAGGCAGTCTGTAAGTATGTTGATAGCATGTATTTAATTTGGAAATATCCTTGCTTGTCTTAGTTTGTCTCCATTTCTACTGTGCCTTTGGCAGCCATATATATACTTGTTATATTCTGCAACAATTAAATCCTTACACTTCTCGGGAAAAGTTGCTTCAAAATAATAAAAAAAAAATTCCTAAATCAACCTACTTGCAGTGGTCCAAGCATTATAGTGCAAGTGGACCTAAACAATTTGAATCATCTTTATGTTAATTTGGCTCATTGGCATATCTTTTAATTACGAAATTATGACATTAAGTAGAATTAAACACAATTGTCCATTTTAAGTGCATGTTTCTATCTTGAAGGCTTGATGAAGCATAGCTGGATTGGCTTTGAAGTGGACTGGTTGCAAAAGAACACATGCTTTAATGAATGCAAGGGTTACCTTAGGTGACTGCTGCTGGTGGAGCACAACCTACACACTGGAAGGGTGGAAGTCATTTTGCAGTCAAGGTAGCTGGATATAAAGTGCTGCTGGCAGTCATGGACCAGGCTGTTCACATGAGGAAACAGCTCAGGTTCTGTGGCTGACTGAATTTGCAGATCAGCACTTCATCTAGTTTGGATTTATCTGCAATCGTTTTGTTTTTTGTTTTTTTTTCTCCCCAAGCTTTTTTAAACTGAAAAAGGCATAGAAAAGTTTTGGGTTCAGTAAACAAAATGACACATATTTCAAGCACCATTTTGAAGCACTTATGACAAAAGCAAAAGACTGTCTTGCAATCCCATGTTGGGGTGATTTCACCCAACTGTGAGGAGTGGGAAGAGACAAAGGGATTCATTTGGGACACACGAAGAATTAACTTACTTAGGCTGGTGACAGGACATGAACATATCTTTCACTATGGGAGAAATGAAACTGTTTATGATTTCATACCTGCCAAAGCTATGGGACAGATTTTTCAGAGTCAGCTAGTGCAGTTGTAGAAAAACTGTAGAGTGTTTTATTATTTGTTCACTGACATCCCAATTTATATTCGTACAAGATCTGGACTTGATGTTTCAGACTTAATGAACACTGATGCTTATTTTTCTTTGGAGTAATCAAGGTATAAAGGAAATCTTCCTTTCTGTGTTTCTACAGTAGTAGTCCTAAGAATAAAAAACGTAAATAATGTGTGATGGGGTTTCTGTTGAATAGGGATGAGGGGAATAAAATCATATAGAAGTATCTTAATTTGGAAATTAATTTTGAAATTTAATTTTGCCCAACATAAAGTAGACTGTTCAAGATACATTCATTGGGGAAGAAGACAGGGTCTGATGGTGTGATAGAAAAGGGGGACCTTCTATTGATGTTCTGTGAGCAGTGCCCTCAGCTAGGATATACTTCCATAGCTGAAGTGCTATGGGTCCAGCTCTGTGATCGCCCATACCAGACAAATATGTGGGACAGAAGAAGGGTCTTCATGCAGTTCTGAAAATTTTTTGAGAGATTGATTTGTGTGAGGAAGAAGGGGAGGAACTGGGAGCTGGAGGCTAAAGAGAATCATGAAGAATGTCTCAGCTCTGTATTGCATTATCTGTGTGAGCCTCTAGGAAACCAGCAGAAAAGTTAACCTTGCCTTTGATGGGAGAAAAATGGGACCACTTTTACACCTCTTGAACTTCCACTTCTAAATATCTGGCAAGCAATCATTAAAAGCAACTCAAGCAACACAAGTTGTCACAAGTTCAGAAAAACAAGAAATAGGAACAGGTTCACAATAGAAGAGAGGATGCCTAGAAATTTGGTTTTGGCAGACAAGGCTACAATCTTGTTAGAAGTCTAATACTGATAAAGAGGGAGTCTTAAATTTTCCTCTCTAATTGCTTTCTTTTAGCCATTTAAAAAAATTACTTCTTGTTAAGAGAAGTGTGATGTCAGCTGTGTTGTTTTGAGATGAATCATTTAAATAGCTTGCACTAACTCTCCTATGAGACCTGCCAGACCTATGAAGGCTTGCTGCCGGTGTCCATTATGGAAATTAGGATAATAGGGAAAAATCAAGCTTGTTCTTTGCATTGAGTAGCAGCTAGAACTAGTCAGCTCATGCTGTTGAAAGGCATTTTACCCTTGGTGTGGTAAAAGGGGTTTCATTTCTTCACTAGAGGGAATAATTTACTTTTATCTATGTGTTTGAACTTCTTTGCTGTGAAATCTGACTACAACTCTTCTTGATGAACTGTGCTTCCTATGCTGGCTTAGGAAGCACAGGAATTGTTGCTTGGGCCCTGCTGAGAAGAGGAAGGGCTTTTTCACTGAGAATTCTGATTCTTTCTAGAAGGGAAAAAGATATATTTATTCTGTTGGTTCTTTTGTAGCTTATGGAGTAGCAGTCACCTCCTTATGCTCTGCTTCTAAAAAGGAATATACATTTCATAGGTATAGCATCCGTTTTAAAAGCCTGGTCTAAGGAAAGGAATCTAGAATGCCAAAATTTTCTGCATCTCATCTACCACTCTGGTTCTCTTTGAAATGATCTGTGGGCAATAAGGCTGTTGACAAAGGCCCTATCCACTGTGAGAAAATAAAAAAGAAGAAAGCCTAGTTCTTCAAGCAAAGAAGTGTCCACTATTTTCAGAAGTTAGTTGCATCTGATTGTTCTGATCCAGCTTTTGTAATAAGAACAAGAACTATTTTCGCAATAGCCATATTAGAAAATTTAATTAGTGAAGGATTGCCCAGCATGTTCCGCATGTTTTAACTAGTATGTAGCTCTGGATTTTTTTACTTTGTGTTGCCAGTAGGATCTTTTTGTTGTTAATGTCAAGAACAGCATGGACTTCCAGACTTCCCTGAAGCACAGATTTTATATGATCAGATCAGAATTTACAATCAAGGTAAGATAACAAAAGGAGTGTGTTTGAAAAGATATTTGAAACCACAAATTATTTTTCTTTCAAAATTAACACTTGGCCTTGCTGTCTTTTTGAAGGAGATAGAATGACTCAATATCTGAGAGCCTTGTTGGGTCAACAAATTGCCTGCCAGTTCTCCATGGTAGCCA